TAAGGGGGAATAACTTTATTAAAAACAATTAACAGCTTTATTCGTTTAATAATTGAATTGCTATAAAATTTTAAAATTTTCACTGCATACCACTAACGAAATTCCCAGCAAAAAAAGTGTGGAAAAAGATGTACAATTTTCATCACAACTAGTAACCCGAAGTGCTTCAAATTCAGGTGAAAAACCTATGAATTTTACATTAACGTGACATTGGAGGGATGTTGTTCATTTTTGACAACTTTGAACTACATCTAATCTTATTTTTAGAAGCAGTAAAAATCCGATATTTGGATGTCAAAAATAAAACACATTCTCTTAATGACACGCTTATGTAAATTTCACTACTCTTTCACCAAATCTTGATGTACTTCAAATATGTTATTTGTAATGACTTTTCCACATCTCTTTCCTCACTTTTAACTGGGGTTTCATTTGTAAGGAAATATTTGGTTTATAAAAGTGAAAAATATGTAATCGCATTTTAAGATGTGATTAAGATGTAGTTTGTAAAGTATGACATCAATTATTTTTTGCTGGGAACTAGTAACCCGAAGTGCTTCAAATTCAGGTGAAAAACCTATGAATTTTACATTAGCGTGACATTGGAGGGATGTTGTTCATTTTTGACAACTTTGAACTACATCTAATCTTATCTTTAGAAGCTGTAAAAATCCGATATTTGTATGTCAAAAATAAACCACATTCTTTCAATGAAACGTTGATGTAAATTTCATTGGTTTTTCATCAAAATTTGAAGTACTTCGAATATGTTGTTTGTAGTGACTTTTCTACATCTCTTTTCTCATTTTTAACTGTGTTTTAATTTGTAAGTATATGTTTGGTTTATAAAAGCGAAAAGAATGCAATCGCATTTTTAGATGTGATTAAGATGTCGTTTGTAAAGTATGACATCAATTATTTTTTGCTGGGTTGTTCTACTGATTCTAAATTCCGCAAGATTTTAAAATAGTTACTTTAATATTTCATTAGGAATATTTTGTAACATAAGCATGTATTATTTATTTAAACTTTATTAATGAGCAAATAAATAAAATATATAAAAATGTGTAAATGAAATAAAATTTGAAAATTAAAACAAATGATCCAAAGTTTGGATTCCAAACATATAAAATTACTTGCAATTTGAAAAAAATATAAAATATACATTTTCCAATCTACTCATGTGTGATGATGAACTTAACTGTATAAAATAATACGCAGTACAATAATAGAATAATGAGAATAGAGTTGAGTTTATTTCATTCTTGCTATCATAAAAATATATTTTAATATGAATAATAAACATTTTAATGAGTTAACATCAATCTGTAGGGAGAAAATAGCGTGATTTTAAAATAAAAAGCTTATTAAATGCAAAAACATAGACAAAATGAAATTATTTAACAAAAATATTGACCCTATTACGAGTTTAAGATAATGGCAATAAGATTGCTTTGAAAAGAAATAATTTATGTGTATGTACATATAAAATAAAACGAACATTAGGGCAATACGGACATGGTTGCGGCATATTGATATTTAAAGAAAAAATCGTTATGTTATGTATGTCCCTAATATACAAACATACATTTACATTTGTATGTGTGGAGATGAACTGATTGAAATCATTTCAGAATTTATAACTAAAATCGTCAGAGTACAAGGTACAGATGAAAAATAAAAATTATCAATATAGAAACACTAGACAATAGCAAAAAAATGAATAATTAATACAAATCAAATGAAAATAATTACTTATTATACAATAGGTATAAATTAATTTGCAAAAAATAGAATATTCAAATTAAATTGTCATTAGACATATTCTATAAATACTTTTACCAAAGTATAACACTTTTACAATAAACTTTAAATGAAATAGATGTTTTTTATGAAGACAAATATATGCAAATGACATGTTAATGTTAAAATTAAACGTATAGATACCTACCATAAAAAAATATTTGACTTGTATATAGGGGACCTAATTTTTTAAATAAGATCGGTCAAGAACTCTTTGAGTTACAGTGCGTCAAGTTTTGGCATTTTTGTCAAATAGGTATTATTTCCCACCTATGTGACTTATTACATATTAGCAAAATTTGTCATAAATAGTTCAGATATGTAGTTATTTCTTCAATCTTACAGAAAAGTATTTAAAAATAAAAACAAGTAAGAAAGTATAGTCGGGCGTGGCCGACCACATGATACCCTATGAATATTAAATGTGATTTATTTTTCATAATAAAGCATTTATCTTCAATATTCCCTTGTTCCGATACATTTAAGCAATTTATGGATGAAAAACTAATTTTCTGAAAGAGGCTTTATATGGGGGCTAGGGGAAAATATGGACCAAGCCCGATAAAATTTTGTGAATATATTTATATTTACATAATATTTTATTGTGCTGAATTTCATCGCGATATTTGTGTTTATAAGTTAATTTGGGACATTCAAGTAATTTTCTGAAGGGGACTTTGTATGGGAGCTAGGGTCAAATGTGGCCCGATCTTTATGAAATTTGGCAGGGTCATCAAGACTTCTATAAAACTTAGTTGTGCCGTATTTGTCGATATATCTGTATATTTAACATAATTATGAGCTCAGAAGCCCTTTTCGGGGGGTTCTGTTCTATGGGGGCTAGGTGAAATAATGGACCGATTTTAACCATTTTCAATAGGGTCAAATTCCTATTGAAAATGTCCTTGGGTCAAATAAAACGTGCGTGCCAAATTTCATCCAATTATCTTGAAAATTGCGGCCTGTACCTTGCGCACAAGGTTTACATGGACAGCCAGCCAGCCATCGACTCAGAAAACGATTCTAAGCCGATTGGTATACATTAAGGTGGGTCTAGGACGAATATTTTTGTATGTTACAAACATCAGCACAAATATTTTTTTCTAAAATGGGCTTATTTATTTTCATTTAAAGGCTCAAATGAGCTCCGATTCAATTCGGAAAAGCTATTGCATATACATACATACATATACATACAGTGTCTCTCATAAGTATTCGAATTTAGGTAAACTATGAAAAGAAACCAAATTTAATAATATATTTTGTGTGGAAAATAAATAAATTAATTTGTTATATTGTCTAGATAGTCCTTATTTTTGATATCACGCTTTTTAAAACTTGAAAAATTTGCATTGATTTAAATTAATTGTGGTTTTAAAAAAAAGTCCATGAAATTGCCTCACAAAAGTATACGAATTTTTCCTGTATTTCATATTTGATCATATTATACGCAACACAAATTTTAGAATCGAATGGTTTTATGCTTAATATTGTTTTAAGGGGTTACTATCAACCACATGGATATATTTTTGACCCATTTGGTCCACAATTTTGGGAGATTTGTACCCTCTGTTAATGTAATATCATTAAAATGGCGATTTTTGGCTATATTTGTAATGTTTTCACCATTTTTTCAGAGATAAAACTAAAATTTAATATTGGAATTTAATAGAACCCATAGGGTATCTAAAAATTATATTTTTTGTTATAAGGATCTGTACTTAAACGTTCCAAGATGTATTTTTGGTATCGTTTTTCAGTTTCTAATTGAATTATCTGGATCATAAGTCCCTTTTCGTACCTCTAGGGACGATATTTTCCGACAAAGTTGTCTAGTGTATATTCATGCACATATTGGCACTAATGTATTTTAAATTTTCAATATATTATAGCGGTATACAACCCCAAAACATGCCTTAACAAAACGTCATCCTATATAGTAGATTTCAGTTTTTACTACTCGTAACTTTCACGCTTATGTTGCCCGTTACAATAACACTGTAAGTCCTAAATTTTGGTTTTAATTTGATCATAGTAAATAATATTTAAACACATATCAACATTTTTGATGTGATCATAATGATATCGTGCCATGCAGCATGGAGGCCATTGGTATATAAAAATAATGATTTTACTATTTTGAATGGTGCTTCTTCGAGGCATGTTTTGGAGTTGTACACTTCCACAACACATTGAAAACTTAAAATGTATAAAAGCTGATATCTAAAAGAATATATACCAGAAAACTTTCCCCGAAAATAGTTGATCCTAGTATTATAAAAATGGACTTAAGTTCCAATATATTGAATTAGCGACAGAAGAATGATCCGAATAATTTATCTTGGAACGTTCAAATACAGATTATTGTAACAAAAAATATTATTTTTAGATACCCAAGGGGTCTTTTAAGTCCCAATATCAAATTATCTGGAAAAAAGGAGAAAAATTTACAATTATGGAAAAAAATCGCCATTTTAATGATATTACATGAAAAGAGGGTACAAATTCCCCAAAATTGTGGACCAAATGGGCCAAAAATATATCCTTTCCGTGGATAGTAATGCCTTAAAACAATATTACGCATAAAAACCATTCGATTCTAAAATTTGTGTTGCGTATAATATGATCAAATATGAAATACAAGAAAAATTCGTATACTTTTGTGAAGCAATTTCATGGCCTTTTTTTTTAAAAACCACAATTAATATAAATCAATGCAAATTTGTCAAGTTTTAAAAAGCGTGATATCAAACATAAGGAATATCTAGACAATATAACAAATTAATTTATTTATTTTGCACACAAAATATATTATTAAATTTGGTTTCTTTTTATAGTTTACCCAAATTCGAATAATTATGAGAGACACTGTATGTATATAAATTCTATCCCGATGTCATTAATTCATGAGTTATTTACGATAAAGTGAATTTCGGATGTAGACTTTCTATGGATGATTTGGAACTCGCAGATATCTGGGGTTTTCTAAAAACTGTTTCAACATACCTACGGATAGATAGATGGAGATAGCTAAATCGACTCCGCTATCTATAAGTATTGTAGAAATGACAAACGTTATACCTATACTCTTCTCTCAAAAGTAAATGGTTACGAGTTATGTATATTAAAAACTTACGGCAATTAACCAATTGCTATTTATAGTGTTAGTATATAGAATAATAATATTCAATACTTACGGTTCCTTTAAAACTGGAGCAATCTTATATAGACAATCTAAAAACTGTTGATCCAGACACCAGACACTGGGTTTCAATGGTTGACTGTTGACGTTTAAAATGCGAAATAGAATGCAGAGTATAACCGCTATAGCGGTCAGGAATGCCGTCGACATGGCAGTTAAAGTTTGTACCAACTGTTGGCGTTCGAATGAGATAAATGGAAATTCAGCGGCAAATAGTTGTACGAAATTCTGTGGTGATGTCAATAATTGGTCATAGATATAAGAACACTGCAATATGGGATAATAAAGGAACAACATACAGGTGTTGGGATAAGGATTAAAATAAACAAAAAATATGTAATAAATAAGAATTGTAAAAAAGACAAATAAACGAAATTCAAGAAAAACACACGTACTAACAAAAAGAGGGACAAAACAAAAATTCGCAATAGGAAGCGTTTGAGGAAACCGGTTGGTAATTTGTGCAAAGTTTTGTTGATGAATATTTAAATTATTTGATTGGTTTGAATTTGGTTTTTATTCTATCTATCTTTCTTTTTTTTTTTTTTTTTTTTTTGTTTTTGAGTTAATTTGTATTAAATTTATTTTATTTGCTTTATAATACAATAATGCTTTTTTGCTTCGTTTTTTACTGTTTTTATTGCTTGTTTTCTATCATTTGTTTTGAATTTACTTTGTTTTTTTGCAAATTTGTTGTCACCTACTTTTCTTCTTGTCTACGTTGGTTTTGTTTTTGTATATTTTTTGTATGTATGTATCAACAAACTATGATGTATAAAGGCGTTTTTTTATTGTACTAGAAACTTCTTGAAGTTGTTAGAAAAAATCCGTCTTATTTGTTTAGAATTATCTAAATGTTTTTTGTTTAGATTTCTATTTAATTTTTTATATACTTAAAAATTTGAAATCCAAAAGTTTTACTTCAATCACTTAGTTTTTTTTTGTATCGTTTTTATTTTGACAACTTATTCAGTTTTCATTTATTTCGGTTTTTTCTTTTTCTATGTATATGTAAAAAAAAATATTGTATATTTAAAAAGGAGAATCACGTCCTTATTCGCTTAGTTCTGTTTTGTATCTGAATTTAATTCAAACTCGATGATAATGTTTTGTATCTTTTGTTTTGTTTTGCTATTCGTATGTAGTTCTTTTTCATAAGTGATGATAATTCAGCGATTTTCTTAAACAACGCAGTGTTGCCACTCGATTGTGTACGAGAACATTTACTTCGTTTTTCTCTGGTAGCACTTCAAACAAAAAAGTGTTTGCTACAAACACGAGATACGAAAAATACATTGCTGTTTGTCAAACCAAAATATGCTAGGTCGTCAAACATACAGTGGCGAGCATATGGGTTACATATTAATCAAGTTTATATTAAAAACCCATTAAAATCCAGAAAATATTAAAAAAAAACTTAGATGTTTGATTTAAAATAAGCAATAGAAGAATAAGAAAATAAAACAATAGAAAATTCGCGAATATTGAAAACTTTATCTCAAGTTTTAGCAAATTTTATTACAAAAGTCAATGTATCCACTTTTGCACATTTAAATTTAATTAATCTAGCAACACAAATAAATTTAATAATAGCAATGAATTTTAGTAGTACTAAATTAGTACTGCTACTTGATTTACCTTTGAAGAAAGCATCAAAACAAACAGTTACCATTTTTGTGTCATATTTGTAATTTTTTGCAAAGATTTTAATATAAGTTTTAATAAGAAAAATATCAAGTTTATTGCAAAACCAAATGGTCGAAATGACAATAAATAATTACTGTGTTCGTCAAATTGCCAAGAATTTAGGAATTTGCTACCGAAGAGTGCTACAAGTGCGAAAAAGAAAAAATATAAGCACACCAGAAGTTAAAAAAGGTCGATCGTGCTTGCATTCGGAGAGAGATGCCAGAACTGTGGAGCGTTTATTGACATCCAAACAGGTTAAAACACCAAAAACAGGCTACTGTTGCCATAAATAAGCCCTTAAGTGAATGGACAGCCCGGAGAGCTCTTCATAGAATTGGCCTTATATCAGCAGTAAATCAGAAAACACCAGCGTTATCAGAAAAAAATGTGAAGGATCGTCTTAAATTTTGCAAGAAGCACACAAATTGGAGTGTTGATGACTGGAAGAGGGTTATATGGTCCGATGAACCGAAGACTAATCGTTTTCAGTCTGATGGCAAGGAATATTACCTGCACCGCCCTTATGAAAGCTTAAAAAAGCTCCAAGTAAAAGTCAGTCCTTTAGTAAAATTAGATGATATAATGAACAAGTAAGAGTGTTATATTCGGCCATGCCGAATCTTATATACCCACCATCAAATCATCCTTATAAATAAACTTTGATATTATCGATCTATGTTGAATCATATGTCGATATTAATATGAACATCAGGGAAATATTTGGTAGAGGGAATTTAATAAGGGCTTAAGCATTAATTTTGTTTGATCCAATATTTATAACCATAAACTGTTTTTTTGTAAGAGTGGTTATATGGAGGGTAGAGTCAATTATGGACCTATCCTTGTCGGTTCATACAATAATTATTTGTATCTAATGTAGCTGTACTTGTATCTTTAATTCAGTCATGAGGTTTAAAATATTTATCTGAAGGGAACCGAAAATGGGTGTTTGATTAGTTATCCTCATCAAATTCAGTTGAAAACTTCCAGTTCCTATAAAACTACCGTAACGATTTTTAGTTTTTGGCTAGTACAAAACTTGTTTACGTAGATTTTCACTGCTGTAATCGCATTTTTGAGTCAGTAATGAGCGTTGAAGTCATTATCTGAAGGGGACTTTATAGGGGGGTAGGCTCAATTACAGACCGATCCTCATAAAATTTAGTGGGAGATTTTTGCTAATACGAAAATTGTTTATGTCGAAATTCATCGATGTACTCACATTTTTGAGTCAGTAATAAGCCTTAAAGTCATTTTCTGAAGGGGACCTTATATGGGGGGGTAGGGTCAATTATGAACCGATCCTTATAAAATTTTACGAAGAGATTTAAATTCTTATAAAACACTTTTGTGCCGAATTTCGCCTCTATTGATGCTTCCCTTAGCCAGTTATGTGCGATAAAGTCATTTTCTGACGGGGACTTTATATGGGCGGTAGGGTCAGTTATGGACCTATCCTTATAAAATTTTACAAAGAGATTTAGGTTCCCATAAAATTTGTTTGTGCCGAACTTCACCGCTATTGATGGTTCTCTTAGCCAGTTATGGGCCATAAAGTCATTTTCTGAAGGGGACTTTATATGGTGGGTAGGGTCAATTATGGGCCTATCTTATAAAATTTTACAAATAAATTTAGGTTCTCATAGAATATGTTTGTGCCAAATTTCACCGCAATTGATGCTTCTCTTAGCCAGTTATGGCCGATAAAGTAATTTTCTAAAGGGGACTTTATATGGGGGTTAAGGTCAATTATGGACCGATTCTTGTAAAATTTTACAAAGAGATTTAAGTTCTCATTAAACATGTTTGTGACAAATTTCACCGCAATTGATGCTTTTCTTAGCCAGTTATGGGCGATAAAGTCATTTTCTGAGGGGGACTTTATATGGGGGGTAGGGTCAATTATGGGCCTATCCCTACAAAATTTTACAAAGAGATTTATGTTCCCATAAAACATGTTTGTGCCGAATTTCACCGCTATTAACGCTTCTTTTATCCAGTTATGGGCGATAAAGTCATTTTCTGAAGGGGACTTTATATGGGGGGTAGGGTCAATTATGGACCGATCCTTATAAAATTCTACGAAGAGATTTATGTTCCCGTAAAACATGTTTGTGCCGAATTTCACCGCTATTGATGCTTCCCTTAGCAAGTTATGAGCGATAAAGTCATTTTCTGAAGGGGGCCTTATATGGGGGCTAGGCGAAATCGTGGACCGATATTGCCCATTTTCAATACCAAACAAACTGCATCAACTATAAGTATCTGTGCAAAATTTCAGCTCGCTAGCTACTTCCGTTTGGACTCTATCGTGTTTTCAACAGACAGACAGACAGACAGACGGACAGACGGACGGACATGGCTAGATCGTCTTAGAATCTAATAAGGACCCAGAATATATATACTTTTATGGGTCTTAGACGAATATTTCAATGTGTTGCAAACGGAATGACAAAAACAATATACCCCCCATCTTTTTTGATGGTGGGTATAAAAAGGAGAATTATATGCTCATTTTCAATCCAATATTCCAGATTTTGTGGAAGAATGTGCATATCCAGAGTCAGAGGATATACTCCAACAGGATAGGGATCCGAAGCATACGGCAAAAATCGTAAAGAATTGGCTTTCAGAGCAGAATTTTCAAACGATGCAATGGTCAACTCAATGCCCGAAAATCAATCCAATTGAAAATTTATGGGCTTTGTTAAAAAAACGTCTTGCGCAATACGATAATGCATCAAGAAATGTTAATGAACTTTGGTCGAGAGTACAAACGGAGTGGGCTAGTATTCCGCACCGGACCATTGAGACCTTAAGGTGTCATAAAAGCAAAAGGATTTTGCACAAAATATTAAAAATTAAGATTTTTTTAAAACGTGCAAAAGTGGATACTTTGACTTTATTCATAAATATGTTTTAATCTTTAGATTAATATTTAATTATCATAAATTTAATTTTGTTTTCTTTTTATATTATTTTATTGAATATTTTAAATTGAAAACTTCATTATTTTTCTTTTGTTTTATGGGTTTTATTGCATTTGCTAAACATGTATCAGATTTGCTCGCCACTGTACATGCATATGTATTTTAAATGGGACATCAAACAAAATCTGTTTTCATTTCTGATTTTAATTCGTTTACGAATTGCCTTAATTTTGAATTAATTCTTTCACAAAAATGGGAATTGAATGAAATTTGAATCAATTCAAATGAATTGCAATTCGTTTCTAATTCAAATGAATTTGTCAGATTAGAATTAATTCAAAATTTGCTAATTAAATTCACAAATAATTCACGAATTGATTAAAAAATTAATGATTCATTTACAGCTCTGGCCTGTATCCATCATGTTAAATAATTAATTATTTGTCTCTAAAAAAGAACCTCTCCAGGGGTTACTACAAGGATACATACTTATTATTATACCATTGATCTCAGCAGAATCACTATCAAGTTTTTTCAATGATTTATTGAGCACACATTGATTTTCCGTAAAAACGGGTTGTATTAAATTTAGTAAAAGAATTTTAGTACCTAAAAAAATGGTTTATTTATTTTCTAAGGGGACTTTATATATGTCCATATCGTCACCTAAAACGCAAACGGACCTATCTAACATTTTTAAAATTTTACAGGAGAAGCAAAAAACTATTTACATTGAAAATTTTGTTTCTGTCAACGCGATGTATTTGTAGTAAATAAACAAATAGATTAATAGTAAAACCTATAATTTGTTATGATAGTTGACAATGTATATAAAAATGGATAAATTGGACTTTTTACCTTTAATATGTAAATGTTTTTGTAGATAGGGCCTTTTGTTTTTATACCCTCCACCACCATCAGTGGTAATAGAGGGTATATATATATGTTTGTCGTTCCGTGTGTTTGGTATTGGAAATCAGCATAATCGGTTCACAACGTAAAAAGTTATGAGTAAAAGTTTCAGACTATCTCGAAAAAAATTACGTTTCTTCGTAATTCTTTTGAAATTTTCTCAGAAACTACTAAAGATATTGCGATGAATTTTGTCACACATTATTTTTTTAAGGCAGTAATTAATTATGTTCAAAATTTTTACAATCGATCTAATATTTCCCATAGTTCCCATACAAAGGTATATATTCCCGGAAATTAATTTATCGTTAATAACACAAAATTTTCTACATGCAAATATAATATGAACAGAAATCATAATATCAACGTAGATCTCAGTCGGTCCACAATTGGTCATAGCTCCCATATAAGGTCCACACTTCCGAAAATCAGCTAAACGCACATATTTCATTGATAAATAAACCTATTGTGACAAAATTCGACACAGATATGTTTTGCGTACATACAAATCCTTCTACTAAATTTTTTACGGATCGGACCATTGTTGGTCATACCTCCCATATAAGGCCCACTTCCGAAAATCACTTAAAATCACATATTTCATTGTCAAATAAAGTAATCTTGATAAAATTCGACACAAATAAGTCTTGTCTAAATATGAATCACTCTACGAAAATTTTTTCCGGATGGGCCCATAATTGGTCATAGCTCCCATATAAGGTCCACTTCCGAAAATCACTTAAACGCATATATTTCATTGAATTCAAAAGCTATAGGGATAAAATTCGACACAAATATGTTTTGTGTACATACATCATCTTACCAAATTTTTTACGGATCGGTCCATTATTGGTTATAGCTCTCATATAAGGCCCACTTCCGAAAATCACTTAAAAGCACATATTTCATTGTCAAATAAAGCTATCTTGATAAAATTCGACACAAATATGTTTTGTCTAAATATGAATCACTTTACGAATTTTTTTCTGGATAGGCCCATAATTGGTCATAGCTCCCATATAAAGTCCACTTCCGAAAATCACTTAAACGCATATATTTCATAAAATTCTAAAGCTATAAGAATAAAATTCGACTTCGAATATGTTTTGTGTACATATCAATCATTCTACCACTTTTTTCCCGAATCGGTAAATTATTGGTCATAGATCCCATATAAGGCCCATTTCAGAAAACCACTTAAATGCACATATTTCATTGTCAAATAAAGTTATCATGATAAAATTCGAAACAAATATGTTTTGTCTTTATATGAATCACTCTACGAAATTTTTTCCGGATAGGCTGCCATATAAGGTCCACTTACGAAAATCACTTAAACGCATATATTTGTTTGAATAATAAGGCTATTGAGATAAAGAACGACTTGAATATGTTTTGAGAGCATATAAATCATTTTACGGAATTTTTTTCCGGATCGGTTCATAAGTTGTCTTAGCTCCCATACAAAGTTTACTTCTGAAAATCACTTAATACCACTTAATTCGTTATTAAATGGTTATATCCGGATAAAATTGGACATGAATATGTTCTGTGTATAGATATCTACTATATATCATTATATTGATAATTTTTAATCAATATAAATTTTTCTGGACTTAATTAAAATTAGATTGAAAGATGCATATCAACACGGAAACTACAAACTTGCAAAGTTATCTAAAAATTAGATTGTTAAATGGGATTTGATGAAAAATAACTTGCTGGTGGAGGGTATTTAAGATTCGGCACAGCCGAGAAGTCCAATTGTTGGTGTGGACATTTGTTTTGATGCAATGTATTACAATCAACAATAAAATCGATTTTGAATATTTGGTTAGTTAGGGCCGTTTGCGTTTCAGGTGACGATATGTATGTTATTTATGTGTTTTACTAATAATACGAATCTGGTTTTTATAAGCTAAGCTAAATTTTAAATATAATCAATGTAATTCGGAATTTGGAGAAGCTAAAACAAAACCGATTGGAATAATAATACGGAATTAAATCATTCCGATCGGAATGTGTGACAGATCTGATAAATAAATTTGGGAACTAAATAATTACAAAAATTTTGAGATATGTAAATTACGAGAGTTAAAGTAATTTTCTGACGGGGACCTTAAATAGAGGATAGGCTCAATTATGGATCATTACTATACTAATGTTTTCAAGTCAGTTATTAGCGTTAAAATCCTTGTCGTTAATAGACCATGGATGTCAAGGGTCCTATGGATGGTAGAGTCAATTATGCACCGATCCTCATAAAAAATATTTGTTTTATTTTTTATTTAAGATTCATTTAGTTTCTTCAAATCAGTATTACTTCATTTTTTTAAACCACCAAAAATACGAAAGTAATTCCACTTTCAGGTTTTGTATAATTTTGTTAATGTATGTAACAATTTTAATAATTTTAGGTTTAAACGTTTCCTTAGAACTGATAAATTCATATTTGTAGAATTCAAAACTGATCTTTATTATGGTGATGAAGACAAAAATCAAAAATTTGCTCATAAACAATAAACGTGTTAGATTATTCTGAAAACCAACAACTCTACAACTTCTTAAATAACATTTAATAAAAAAAAAAATTGTGTTTGTTATATTTCGATCACAATTTGTCGAGTAATTCTTTTTACGTTTTTTTATTTGGTTTTTGTTTTTCTTTTTAACTAAAATAACTTAGTAAGTTATTTGTAATTTTTGTTATTTAACCAATTTTAAAGATTTTACTAGATTTTTTTGTGTTTAAGCTTGACAATACATTATAATAATTAAACACTATTGGTTGGGTTAGATAGTAATAGATTAGCCTTGGTTTAAGGATCGTTTTAAGGTTTTAACCTACAACCAATGTACCCTCATCGGGGAAGCTGTGGGTTGGTACTTCCAAGTTCAAGGGAGCGGGACCTTTACGGATACGACCGGAAGCATCGTAGTGAGAACCGTGGCATGGGCAATAGTAGCCACCGAAATCACCAGCATTGGCAATTGGTACACAACCCAAATGTGTGCAGACACCAATGACAACTAACCATTCAGGCTTAATAACACGTTGCTAATCATTAAAAGAAAAAATAAATAAATAAAATAATATTAAAAAAATATGTGTATATGAAACTTACATCATCAGCTTCAGGATCACGCAATGTAGCAGTGGGTACATTACGTTCGGTGCTGATTTCACCAGCGGTACGATGGCGAATGAACAATGGCTTACCACGCCATTTGAAGGTGACTGACTTGCCTTCGGGAATATCAGCCAATTTGATTTCAATCTTGGCCATAGCCAAAACATCAGCAGTAGCGCTCATGGAGCTGACGAAAGCAGTAACTAAACCCTTAGCGGCATAAGCACCACCGACAGCACCAGCACCTACCAACATGTAAGAGAAGGCCTTGCGTTCTTCGGAATTGGTGTTTTTACGGCTGGCAGTTTGGACCGACTCACGACGGTAGGGTGAGAAATCAGGGGCCTGCAAATCAGTGTGGGCCAAACGAACTTGTTGAAGGGCTAGAAAAGAAATACACATTAAACATAAAACTTAGTTTTTATTTTAGTCTAAATGAAAACTTCATCTTTTTCTCCACATTTCACCCAATAGAAACAAAAAACAGCTGTATTTCTTTCATAACATTATAACTGTTATCATAACATATCCACTAACAGTCGTATTTCTATTGGGGTATATTCTACACTCATAACCTCAAAAAACATTACATAATTGAGCTGAAAAAATGCAAACTTTAAAGATATTTTTCTTAGAAAAATTGCCTTAAAACGTTTACAAATTTCCTCTATTCAGTTAGTTATATTAAAAATATTCTTAATAATCACTTTGTAATCCTGTCACAGCTTTGGTATTGCCGCAAGGAGCATTTTTATCCGTGTTGGTGGGCACCACAACTTTCTTACCCTGAGCCGCACTGAGGACGGCAGGTTTCAAACCATTGGGTACAGCTTGTGTGCTGGCACGTAAATAAGCACGCGACACGGCGTTAATCATTTTCGTTTATTTGATTTTCTAAAAAATACACAAAAATTATTTAATTCAACAACGAAAAATTTTTACGGACGTTCCACTGGTCCAACCGTGTAAAAAAATTTTCGCTGTCACTTCAGGAACACACACAAACACAATGGCACACACACATATATATTATTAAAGAGAGAGAAATGTCAAATAACTGTCAGTATAACAGTATGAAAATAAGTTGGCAATGCATGCTATTCACAGTGGTATCGTTTTTTGAGCATTATTTAAACACTAAACATTATCACAAATGTTTAATAAAATTGTTGATGGTTTATTATAGGAATTTTTGTATAATGTAAAATGTGCGTAATAAACCCAAAATTAACGATTAATATCTTTATGAATATGGGAGTAATTGTTATGTATTGTTAAGAGTTTTTGCGTCGAGAAGTTTATTGAGACTTGGAACTCCTTTAGACTTTAAACGTCTCCAATTTTGTTTTTAACACAGAATCTAATAATACAATTTTTTTGGGTAGATAATTTAAGGAGTTAGATGTTCAAATTTTGTTAATTATTAAATGCAAAAAAATAACTGTGATATTGGCATATATCAGCAAGTATTTAATTTTTTAGGGAATTATATAAGATAATTCGTACAAATTTGAACTTCGACGTTTGAAAAGTGTTTTGATTTAAAAGCTACCAGCAGTCAAATTTAGAATTTCTCAATGAATTGCTTGTGACAAACCAAAAATTCGACTTTCTCCTAAGTACTTTTGGCTCAATCTCAATACTTTCATAATTTTTTGTTTAGATCTTCAGAGAGAATCATATGAGTTACTATAAATTATTGTGCAATCACTCACTAATGATTTATATACATATGAATTAAAGTCGTGTGTATGATTAACATAACTCCTAATTTTTGAATTAAATTTAGATTTTTCGAACATAACATTCCATTGTCATCAGTACCTCATTTCTGTAATTTTCTCCAATCGAGAAAAAACTTAAAATATAATAGTCTTCCAGTTTTTAACAGTGTGACTCAGATTATTTTTCATTAAAATTTAATAAGAAATATTTACATTTCTTGTATTCACCCTGTTTTACGCAAGATGATCATGAATTTTTCGACAGATTTTCTCGATGCAAGAATTATGTGTTCAACCAAATTGGACTACGGGAACAGGTTGAAAATATAGTCACAATATTTGTACTATCTAACAATCAAACTAACAAAGCAAGTTAAATAAAAGCTTTTAAAAATATTGAAAACTGGGTTTTAATTCCGAAAAAAAAAAAATCCGAATTAAAAATCACATTTGTTCGTGTTGGGGCTCAATGAGTTAATGGAATGGAGGTTGTACATCGCTATTCGATTTTCTAGCTTATATGTTGTGTACTTATCGGTAAATTGCACATAAAATTTAAAATTTTTAAAATATCAGAACTGAAAATCACATTTTTCGAGTAGGGGATCAAAGAGTTAATAGAATGGAGAATGCATATCGCTTGAGAGCTTTCTATAAGCTCTTTTTAATGATATATAAAACGTTATTGAATATTTAATACGGATGATATTTAAGATTATATGTATTACAAATTATTTATTATCAATAATAATAATCATAGACAAACATTTGGGCAAACCTGAAAAAATCATCGTGTAAATTGGGTGTTATTTGATTAGTCATACTGTTTGTAAATAAAAAAATTAGAATTAGTGTTCTATAAATCGACTTTCGAATAATCGAACAATCGACTTTTTGTCGAAAAGTCGAAGTCGACTATTTTGTAGGGTTCTATAGTTGAAACGAAAAGTCGACTTTTCGACTTTTCGACTTTTTGCATTTAGTTAAAAGTCGACTTTTCGACCTTTCGACTTTTTCCATTTTATGAAAAGTCGATTTTTCGACTTTTCGACCTTTTTCATTTATTTAAAAGTCGACTTTTAGACTTTTCGACTTTTAGTATTTTATAAATGGTCGACTTTTCGACTTTTTCCGACTTTTCGACTTTTTCCGACCTTTTTCGACTTTTCGACTTTTTCCGACTTTTTTCGACTTTTCGACTTTTTCCGACTTTTTTCGACTTTTCGACTTTTCGACTTTTTCGACTTTTTGACTATTTTCGACTTATTTCGACTTTTTTTTGACTTTTCGACTTTTTCCGACTTTTCGACTTTTCGATTTTTTACGACTTTTTGACTATTTTCGACTTATTTCGACTTTTTTTCGACTTTTTTCGACTATTTTTTACTTTTTTCGAGTTTTTCCGACTACTTTAGAGTTTTTGACCTCTTTTCCACTTTTTTAAAATTTTCGACTTTTTCCGACTTTTCGACTTTTTCCGACTTTTCGACTTTTTTCGACTTTCTTCGACTTTTTTCGACTTATCGACTTTTTTCGACTTTTCGACTTTTTTCGACTTTCCGACTTTTCGACTTTTTTCGACTTTTATTTACAAAGTCGACTTTTCGACTTTTTCATAGACGATAGTCGAGTTATCGACTTTTTTGGAACAAAATAGTCGACTTCGACTTTTCGACTTTTTTCGACAAAAAGTCGATTGTTCGATTATTCGAAAGTCGATTTATAGAACCCTACTATTTTGTTCCAAAAAGTCGATAACTCATACCCGTTAATAAAACAACCTTTTGATAAAACAGCAAACCCTAACAGCTGTTTTTGATTGTTGTGTGGTGAGTTTCTGTAAAAACGTAAACAAATGAAACAAAAACAAATTACTGGACATATTTATTTTGTGCTAAGAAAAATTTATGTATTTTTATAATGTTTTATATTCAGTGCAAGTGTTCTTGGTGTACACCATCTACCCCAATAATAATTCCGGTTTCTTTAGAATCAAACCTTTTTAAAAACGCCATATATAATGTGCAATTCATTCTATATTCCATGACTGGTTGATAGAGTCACGGAATCCATCGGAGATCAACCTAAAAAAATGAAAAAGGGGTGGCTTTAACTTCTTGTTCCGTTCATATGGGGCAAGATTCGAGCCTCATCGTGTCAGTTCGCCAGATACCTCTTTTGTGTATATTGCAGGGTCCTGGTACCCAACACAGCCTTATTGTTAACGGTCTCATAATAACACTTATTATAACACTTATCGGTCCACAGTTGACCCTACCTAAAATCTCAAAGAGATTATGCCATCCGATTTCTACACTTCCAACTTAAAGTTCTATATATGTTTTTATGGTGCACAAGATCGTCCGATAGACGTTATATATAATTTTCTATATACCACCATAGTAACATTTTTTGTGAAAAAAAGTTTGTTGTTGTAGTACACCCCCTAGAACGATGAAATCCGGTAAACAAATTATGCCATCCGATTTCTACACTTCCTGCTTAAAGTTCTATATAGATTTTTATCGTGCACAAGATCGTCCGATAGCAGTTATATATCATTTTATATATACTACCATAGTAACATTTTTTGTGGAAAAAAGTTTGTTGTTGTAGTACACCCCCTAGAACGATGAAATCCGGAAAAAAATGTATGCCATCCGATTTCTACACTTCCAACTTAAAATTCTATATAGGTTTTAATCGTGCACAAGATCGTCCGATAGACGTTATATATCATTTTATATATTCGGCCATAGTATCATTTTTTGTAAAGAAAAAGTTTTTTGTTGTAGTACACACCCTAGAACGATGAAATCTACAAAAAAATGTATGCCATCTGTTTTCTACACTTCCAACTTAAAGTTCTATATAGGTTTTTATCGTGCACAAGATCGTCCGATAGCAGATATATATCAATTTATATATACTTCCATAATAACATTTTTTGTAAAGAAAAGTTTGTTGTTGTAGTACACACCCTAGAACGATGAAATCCGGAAAAAATTGTATGCCATCCGATTTTTACACTTTCAACTTAAAGTTCTATGTAGGCTTTTATCGTGCACAAGATCGTCCGATAGCAGTTATATGTAAATTTATATATACTTCCATAGTAAAATTTTTTGTAAAAAAAAAGTTTGTTGTTGTAGTACACACCCTAGAACGATGAAATCCGGAAAAAAATGTATGCCATCCGATTTCTACACTTCCAATTTAAAGTTCCATATAGGTTTTCATCGTGCACAAGATCGTCCGATAGCAGTTATATATAAATTTATATATACGGTAACATTTTTTGTAAAAAAAAAGTTTGTTGTTATAGTACACACCCTAAAACGATGAAATCCGGAAAAAAATTTATGCCATCCGATTTCTACACTTCCAACTTAAAGTTCTATACAGGTTTATATCGTGCACAAGATCGTCCGATAGCAGTTATATATAATTTTATATATACGGCCATAGTAACATTTTAAATAAAAAAAGTTTGTTGTTGTAGTACACACCCTAGAACGATGAAATCCGGAAAAAAATGTATGCCATCCGATTTCTACACTTCCAATTTAAAGATCCATATAGGTTTTCATCGTGCACAAGATCGTCCGATAGCAGTTATATATAAATTTATATATACTTCCATAGTAACATTTTTTGTAAAAAAAAAGTTTGTTGTTGTTGTACACACCCTAGAACGATGAAATCCGGAAAAAAATGTATGTCATCCGATTTCTACACTTCCAACTTAAAGTTCTATATAGGTTTTCATCGTGCACAAGATCGTCCGATAGCAGTTATATATCATTTTATATATACGGCCATAATAACATTTTTTTGTAAAAAAAAAGTTTGTTGTTATAGTACACACCCTAGAACGATGAAATCCGGAAAAAATGTATGCCATCCGATTTTTACACTTCCAATTTAAAGTTCCATATAGGTTTTCATCGTGCACAAGATCGTCCGATAGCAGTTATATATCATTTTATATATACGGCCATAGTAACATTTCAAAAAAAAAAGTTTGTTGTTGTAGTACACACCCTAGAACGATGAAATCCGGAAAAAAATGTATGCCATCCGATTTCTACACTTCCAATTTAAAGTACAATATAGGTTTTCATCGTGCACAAGATCGTCCGATAGCAGTTATATATCATTTTATATATACGGCCATAGTAACATTTCAAAAAAAAAAGTTTGTTGTTGTAGTACACACCCTAGAACGATGAAATCCGGAAAAAAATGTATGCCATCCGATTTCTACACTTCCAATTTAAAGTACAATATAGGTTTTCATCGTGCACAAGATCGTCCGATAGCAGTTATATATAAATTTATATATACTTCCATAGTAACATTTTTGTAAAAAAAAAGTTTGTTGTTGTAGTACACAGCCTAGAACGATGAAATCCGGAAAAAAATGTATGCCATCCGATTTCTACACTTCCAACTTAAAGTTCTATATAGGTTTTTATAGTGCACAAGATCGTCCGATAGCAGTTATATATCATTTTATATATACAACCATAGCAACATTTTTTCTAAAAAAAAGTTTGTTGTTGTAGTACACAGCCTAGAACGATGAAATCCGGAAAAAAATGTATGCCATCCGATTTCTACACTTCCAACTTAAAGTTCTATATAGGTTTTTATCGTGCACAAGATTGTCCGATAGCAGTTATATATCATTTTATATATACAACCATAGCAACATTTTTTCTAAAAAAAAGTTTGTTGTTGTAGTACACACCCTAGAACGATGAAATCCGGAAAAAAATGTATGCCATCCGATTTCTACACTTCCAACTTAAAGTTCTATATAGGTTTTTATCGTGCACAAGATCGTCCGATATCATTTATATATCATTTTCTATATATGACCATAGTAACATTTTTCGAATTTTTTTTATTAAAAGGCATTCTGTAACGATATAATCCCAAATATATTTATATTTTATCAGATTTGTTCCTTTCCACATTTATATACATATTTTAATTGATCAAAAATATTTTTTTTAAAGTAAATCATGAAAATCAATTTTTTTGAATCTTTTCCACGTGCATAAACACATATTGAAAATGTAAATAATGAAAACGAGTTTTTGCGTCTTTTCCACGTGCAGAAACACATATTTGTAAACAAAAATAACTCACCACACCAAAAAAAATGTTTATTTTGTTAAAACAGCTGTTACGGTTTGTTTTATTTTTCGTCGGGTTGTTTTCTTTATGTGCGTCGATAACTCGACTATCGTCTATGAAAAAAGTCGAAAAGTCGACTTTGTAAATAAAAGTCGAAAAGTCAAAAAATCGGAAAGTCGAAAAAAGTCGAAAAGTCGAAAAAAGTTGAAAAGTCGAAAAAAGTCGATAAGTCGAAAAAAGTCGAAGAAAGTCGAAAAAAGTCGAAAAGTCGGAAAAAGTCGAAAAGAGTCGAAAATTTTAAAAAAGTGGAAAAGAGGTCAAAAACTCTAAAATAGTCGGAAAAACTCGAAAAAAGTAAAAAAATAGTCGAAAAAAAGTCGAAATAAATCGAAAATAGTCAAAAAATCGTAAAAAATCAAAAAGTCGAAATGTCGGAAAAAGTCGAAAAGTCGAAAAAAGTCGAAAAAAGTCGAAAAAAGTCGGAAAAAGTCGAAAAAAGTCGAAAAGTCGACCATTTATAATATACTAAAAGTCGAAAAGTCTAAAAGTCGACTTTTAAATAAATGAAAAAGGTCGAAAAGTCGAAAAATCGACTTTTCATAAAATGGAAAAAGTCGAAAGGTCGAAAAGTCGACTTTTAACTAAATGCAAAAAGTCGAAAAGTCGACTTTTCGTTTCAACTATAGAACCCTAATTAGAATCACTCCGTTTAAGTTTTAAAAGCTGGCAACGCGTTCAATATTTTACGCGCATATTTATTTACAAATTGAAATATGTAAATAATATTATTTCGATCGAATACTAAAATATAATTTCAGAAAAATCTTAATTATTGTTAGAAAATTCAGGTAAGATAGTTAGTTTATCATGACCGAAATTACGATACTATCATGCACCAGATACATTTTTTTTGCATGTATAGAAGGATTTATGCAGCATTTTGTTTTTGAAATTTATAAAAACTTATGGTACCTATTTGCTATTTTCCACTGGTCCCATTTAACCAGATATTTTTAATAACTTTGCATTTACCCTTCAAAAATGTTTGTATATCAAGATTTTTATATTTTGAGGAAAAGGCAGTAATTAGGTCTTATGGATAGATCCTCGCAGAATTAGGTGATTAGCTCCGGTCTAAGTTAATAGATAAACTAATTTTTTATCACATCATTTATCCTAGATTTCATATTAATAGTGATAAGTTTTAATCGTTAATAAAATAAATCTCTTCAATCGATTTAGTAAAGTACCTTTTTTAAGACATAGGATAACTATGAGCCGATTCTCCCGAAATTTGCTATACATTTTAAGCCACATTAGGAATTTGATCACATATCTACATACAATGGCGGCCATGAGGTTAACATATTTTGTATCTGTTAAATATAACATCAAATATTGCCTATAGTTTTAACATTTTTAATAAATTATTTTTTAGCCGTAACACATGTCCTTCATTACACTTTGTTCCACTACTTTGTTCCATATAGATTTTTTTCTTTCCAAGGTACATCTACCCCGAAAAAATCTGGACATTAATTTAACACAAAATAAACAAAATCGTTAAAAAAATACATATGAAACGAAACAACCGGTTAAATTTACCTAATTTCACTTAAAATTTTGCATTTTTTAGAATATTTCCACATTTTGACAATATTATTTCTTCTCCTAAACATAATCTTCACCAGAACCCACTAAAAAGTTCATAACATAAATTTTACCTTCAGGCCTTAAATTGGCAAAATTCTTGGGGTTTTTTGTTTTTATTTATAGCTCCATATCATTTTTAATGTTCTCGATTGGATTGGTATCGATAGTACTTTTAACACATTTTGGGTCGCTGTAGACGAAAAAACGCAATTTAACTGAACTTTTATCCTCTAGTTTTTTCCTAAAGTATTTAAGACCATATTTTGATAGTCATACTGATTCATTTGTGCATCCACATTGCGTATAAACTACCACTACGCCCGGAAAACGCAACCGAATTCGTCATATTTCTCCCCATTGTGTTTTATGATTTTAAATGTACACTTTGGTTGTTTGGAGTACAGCATAAATATATTTTTCATCAAATTTGAACCTATTAATATTCAACTAGTATCCTAAAATCATTCTAGAAAATACGAAATTTTAAGTGAAATTAAATAGATTTAGGAAATATTTATATAATATTTATCAATCGGCAATTAAACCATGAGTACAATTTAATAAATGATTTGTTATAGTTGTTTTTCTTATTAAATCAATTGCTAAATCTATTTATTAAAATATAAATTTATAATTATTAAGCCGTCCATTTTAAACATCTCGTATCCTGATGTGTGCCCAAACAACGAATGCAACAGTAACGTGTACCGCAGGCCGTACATGAATATTTCGAAAAATTACCGCAAACAGCACAAAAATGACGCGAAGGTTTTGAAGGAGGTGGAGCTAAAGCACTAGTATAGTTGGGGGGATCTGGGTGTTGTTGTTTCTCCTCATCCAAAAGTTGAGCAAAATTTTTGCGATATTTAGCACGATAATATTCTGGACCTTTACGTTTCGATTTACGGTTTTCCTTGGGATTTTTTAAATTATCTTGAAATTTTGGAACTTTTTTCGACATCACCAAATCAGCATGGGGATCATCATGAAAATTATCTTGTTCTAAGGCTTCTAAGGCTTTGCGGGCACGGCGTTGGCGAGCAGCTTCATCAAGAACACGTTTCTTTTCGGCATCTTTAATGCGATTCGATTCACGGCCGGCCATTTTAGTATTTTAGGGATATTTTTTATTAATATTTAGGATTATTTTAAATGTTATAAATTTCTTAAGCTTCTTTTTCGTGTAGGGGAAAACTGATGCGATCCATTAATTCATCGACACGTGCCTGTAGAGTCTCAACGATTTCAGTTGATATAAATAAATGACTTTCATCTAAATCTTGTATAATAAATTTACGTCCCAAGGCTGAGGTTTCATCCAAATGTAGTAGAAATTGTTTCATAGCCGGATCGCTGAAAATAAAAGAAAATATATTAATATATATTTTTTTTTAAAAATTTTAGTTGTTTCAACATGTCCAAAAGAAAAGCCCTCACAGCAGATGAAAAACAAGTCAAACTATTGGAACTTTTCCATGAAACGAATGACGTCTATCAGTTGAAAGATTTGGAACGTTTGGCTCCTCAAGAAAAGGGTATAGTAATGCAATCGGTTAAAACTACTTTACAAGAATTGGTAGATAATGGTTTAGTGCAAAGTGAAAAAATATCAGGCAGCTTGTACTACTGGTCATTTCCCAGGTAATTGTTTTCCGTTACTAAAATGATTTTATGATATTTATTTTACAAATAAATCTGTTATTAAAAAAACTATACATCATGAATGGATGTTGTTAAAGCTTTTTAAGGCCATTTTTGTCATTTCCTTAATTTTCGGAAATCTTTATTACATCAATAATTGAATTAACATCCTTGAATTATGCTTTTTTAGTGAAAACATTAAAAGATTGGAAAAACAAATAAATGACGTCGAATCCAAAACCCTTAAAATAGAACAGCGCTTACAAACCACACAGTCTCAATTAAAAAATGCTGAGGATGCTTTGGAGGATTTGACAACCGTTGAAGTTATCACAAGAGAAATTGCCGTATTAAAGGAGGAAAAAGAAACTTTGGAAAAACAACTTCAGCAATTTCAACACGAGGTAGACTATGAGGAATTAAAAGCGAAAGAATGTGACACAAAAGTAAGAGACACCGGAAGCGTTTAAAAAAATATACATAATTAAAAAGTCCCATTACAGAAATTGCTGGAAGCCGCCAATCGTTGGACTGACAATGTCTTCATGACAAAATCATGGTGTAAACGTAAATTTGACAAACAGGATCGAGAGCTAAACAAAGCGTTTGGTATACCGGAAGAATTGGATTATGTTGATGTCTGAGGGAGAACAATTTACTTACTTACCACTCAACAAGAACTCCTTTCATAACATTCACCATGTCTTAATTTTATTATGCATTTAAGGTAAACGGAAAGAAATTTTGTAAATTTTTATTATAATTGTTGAATTTTTGTAATATTTTGTGTTATGCTGGCAGAGCTCTGCGCCGACAAATATTAAGGGCGGCGGCGACTGACGCTAAATATATCGGCGGCGGCTTAAAATCGATTGTAAGCCGTCTAAGTTTTCAACTACGTTTAGTTTTTAATTTTCAACGATTTTAAATAAAAACGGAATCCGAGAGATCAGAAAGTGGGATTTTGGAAGCAAATACATTGTTTATAACAACAAAACAGAGCAAACTCAAAAGTTGTGTGAGAAATTATGCAGGGATGAATAAAAAATTTTTAAAAATTAAAAACGCATCCTTTCTCCAAGTTTTACGAGGATCTGCCGATATTTAACCCTATCCTCCATATAAAACATCTTGCAGAAAATCAGTTTCTAAAAAATTTTGCATTAAGAAAATGATCAATAACGTAATAAAAAAGTTATTTTGTTTATTTACTTACTAGCTATACCCAGTGTGCTGTGCTACCCTAAAAGCAATATAAATAAGAAACCCACTTAAAGATTTTGATGATTCTAACTACAATGGTTTTCCAGATATACAATTTGTTACATATGGAGATTCCATTATTCCGAACGTTAATTAAGATTTTAATTTAATCTATGAAAAATTTGAATAATCTAATAGTTTCCCAGATATACAAAATTTTGTATTTAATTCATATGGGAAGTGCCAAGCCCCCCATTGAAAATCCGCCCGTTATTCTCTAAATGTTCTTCAGTAAAATTTGAAGATTCCAGCTCTAATAGTTTCTCATATATACGAATTTTTCAATTTAATGCATATGGGATGTTCAGATGTATATTAAAGTTCTTCGTGCAAAATTTAAAGAATATAGTTCTATCACCCAATTTATTACCCAAAATGTTTACATGGACGTTAAAGTTCTTCCAGAACATCATTTAAAGGGATCACGAAGAGATTGAAAAATATTCCAAAAGTTTCACTTTGAAAACATTATTAGAGTGTATTCCTATTTTAGCGGTAATTTCTTTATGATTAAAATAAGTAAGAAGTAAGAGTTATATTCTGCAAATCATATGTTGTAAAAAAAGCAAATTTCGGAAGTGGTCATATACATATATATATGGACTTTGATCATTAGATTAAAAAGAACGTCACCATGATTTTCGGATTAGGGACTTAAATGTGGAATTGGATCAATTATAGACAAAGTTTTCTATAATTTAAAGTATTTTTTTTTTTTTTAATTCTACCATAATTCTATCATAATGATAACTTTTGGAATGATTGGATTAGCTATAAACTGATTTTCTGTAAGAGGGTTATATTGGCGGACCGATTCTCATAATTTTATTTTTTATAAATGTAGGTTTCGGTTCCTAAAAATGTTTTTTTTCGTCGACATCGACATTTGAAAGCTATTAAGTCATTAAGATTTCATATACAAATTTACATTACATATTTTCGTTCCAACAAAAATTGTTTTATTATGGTATTATTAAGTACGTAGAAAACATTAAAATCAATTATTGAAGGGGGCAGGGTCAATTATGGCCTATAGAGATTTCGATTGATATCGAGCCCTTTTTGCAAAATGGACGTAAGCGAGATAAATTTTCGTTCAATTAGGATACCGCGTGTTTAATTTTATGTTTATATATTCAATATTTTAGAAAATTCAAAAAGTACCATTTAAAAGACGAAAAATTAGCAGAAATACTCCAGTTTAAATTTTCATTTACTCAAGTCCCTGATTGCTTAGTTTTATGTTTTTAGGTTCATTATAATAGAAAATTCAAATAGTACCAGTTGAAGAACAAAAAAGTTCCAAAAAGTACCGTTTAATTTCATGTCTATAGGTTCAATATTATAGAAAATTCAAAAAATACCTTTTGAAGAACGAAAAAGTACCAAAAAGTCCCATTTCATATGTTATCACTTAATCCGGGCTGTACATTCCTAATTTCATGTTTCTAGGTTCAATATTATAAAAAATTCAAAAAGTACCAGTCGAAGAACGAAAAAGTACCAAAAAGTCCACTTTTATAGATTCTCAAGTGCTTAATTACATGTTTCTAAGTTCTAGGTCAAAAAAGTACCAGTCGAAGTACGATAAAGTATCAATAAGTCCCATTTTATAGATTCTCATTTACTCCGGACTCTACTTGCTTAATTTCATGTTTCTAGGTTAAATTTTATAGAAAACTCCAAAAGTACCTTTGTAGAACGAAAAAGTTCTGAAAAGTCCCATAATTATTAATTTCAAGTTTCGATTTCAATATCATAGAAAAAAGTACCAGTTGGAGAATGAAAAAGTACCAAAAAATATCACTTGGTACCGGTGTTCCAAATAACACCCCATTAGCATATTGAGTGTTTCTTGAATAAAATCAAATTTCCCGTTTTTACCCCTTTTGGTACTTTTTTCCTCCCCATTAACGAAATAAAAATTCTGTTCCAAAAAGTTGCAACATCGTATTGGGAGTTATTTATATAGTAGGTGTGACAAGTCCTCTGTCAAAAATGTCCCATCATGTTAAAACAACACCATTTAAACGTATCTTAAATTGTTATTTTTACCGTTGTAAGTTCGAATATTTTTTAATAAAGTTCCAACTAGATTGAATCCTATTGAATCGCATAAGTTGTATTGCACGAAAGGCATATAAAATTATTTTTAGAGGTTTAGATTGTTCACCTCAAAATAAAATCTTTATTTAATGGACAATTGAGAATTTTTACCCAAAAATTAATGTTAAATGGAAAAATTACCTTAAATCATTTAAAAATACGAGCTATCTTTCGAATAATATAATTTTCAGTGCACCCTGTTATTGTTGAGTAAACAAAGTAAGCACATTTTCCAACACTATTTCTTGTCAAATTAAAACTTTTGTGGTTTGTTTACTTCACTCTAAATTTTTTTTCTTTGTATTGTAAAGTTGGCAACTTTTTTTTGGGAGATTATTTATATTTTTATTTTATTATTAGAAAAGAAAATTTTGTAATTCAAACGAAAGTTCTCTAAAATGGGGGAAATGTGTCAAAGTTTAATTGAATGGTTCCAGACACTAAATCTCACTGCCTTACATTCCACTAAGGAGGAATTATCAGATGGTGTTGCTTTGGCACAGGCACTCAATCAATTTGCTCCTGAGTCATTTACGGATATTTGGCTATCGAAAATAAAAACAGATGTGGGGTCCAATTGGCGTCTGAAGATGAGTAATCTGAAGAAAGTAGTAGAGGGTCTGTACGACTACTACAGTGATGTGTTAAACTATTCGTTAACAGAATTTCCACGCCCTGATGCAATGCGTATTGCAGAAAAGTGTGATCCTAGCGAAATGGAACGGTTGTTGCAATTGGTATTGGGTTGTGCGGTTAACTGTTCATCTAAACAGGATTATATACGCAAGATTATGTGCCTAGAAGAGTCTTTGCAAGCGAATATTATGAGAGCTTTACAGGAACTGGAATCCAGCTGGCAGGGAACATCAATAACAAGAAATTCCCTTAGTATAGCGAATTTTGATTTTAAAATATTGCAGGAAGAACGCGATCAGTTGGCACAGAAATGTTATGAACAAGAAAAGAAACTAGCTTTACTTTCCGAAGAAAAGTCTAATTTGAAATCAGAAATCAAGAAATTGCAAGAAGATGTAAAACGTTTAGAGACAACATCTAATATAGGAGACGATGGTGTATCCCTGGGACCGGTACAAGCCGGTTCCGTAAGATATAATGACATGAGACGCCAACTGGACAACTTGAAAGATGAACTTTTGCAATCGGAAACAAGTCGCGAAGATTTAAGGCTCAAATCCCAACAACAAGAAAGTGAATTGTTAATATTGCAACAACGCATAGAAGAAATGAATAAAACGCATGCCGAATTAATACAATTAAAGGACGAAGTCGATATCTTAAGAGAATCCAATGAAAAACTGAAACTATGTGAAGCCCAAGTTAATACTTTCAAAAAGAAACTGGAAGACTATAATGATTTAAAAAAGCAATTGAAGCTATTAGATGAACGTAGTGCCGAATACTTGCAACAAAATGTCCAGTTTGAAGAGGATGTCAAAAAGTGTGCTGCTCTTAAAGGTCAAGTAGAACTGTACAAAAAAGAAATACAAGAACTACACATAAAGCTAGACAAAGAAATGGAGAAGAACATCAAACTGGAGTTTGAGCACAAAAACATGGAGAGCGCTATAACCGCTTTAAATCGTTCCAAAGATAATTTGCTAAAAGAAAGAGACAGTTTGAGAGAAGCCATAGATGAACTCAAATGTGGTCAATTATCCAAAAGTTTTGAGGCCGTTTATGGTAATACCATGTCCAAAGAGTTGCAACCATCTGCACTAAATGAAAAAATCGAAAGATTAGAATTAGAAAACAAAGCCTTGCGTGAGGGTCAAGGGGGCCAGACGGCATTAATGCAATTACTGGATGATGCCAACAAGCGTAATGACAATCTACGCGAACAATTAAAAGTGGCAAATGAGAAAGTTATGACTCTTACTCATGCCTCCCTAGGCGATGTCTCCAATAATAGTGGCAATGAATATGGTAAACAAATTAAGCAATTAATGGAACTAAATGAACAAAAGGCGATGCAATTGGAGGAAACTGTTAATCAGAATACAGCTTTACAAAATAAAATCACCCAATTGGAAAATACTCTAACCACACGCGAACAAGAACTTTTACTATTCGATACAAAATATCGTAAATGTATCGAAAGAGCCAAGGAGATTATTAAAAATATGGATCCTAGAGTCTCAAGTGTTGTCGATGCTAATGTCTTAGAAAATCTTCAAGATCCTGAAGAGTTTAACCGAGCAAAACTATCTACTTTGGAAGAAAATCTTATGCTAACCGCTTTCTATAGATTGAGTGTTAATGCTCAGCGTGATTCTATCGACTCGAAGCTTGCAAAATTAATGGGTCAAGGCCAGACCTTTTTGTCGCGCCAGCGTCAATCAGGTCCCAGAAAAAATCTATCAACATTAAAAAGCAAATAGAAAACTGTGTGCTTTTCTTCAAATTTAAGGTATTTTTAGTCATCTGTACTGAGTATTAAAAAGTTTTCAAAATTCCGGTATCATGTTTTTTTAATGATACACAAATTATTTTATTATTTAAAAATTTTGAGAAAAATTAAACTATTTTCTTCATATTCGGACAGTATTTGTAAATTAAAATTTAAAAAAAGAAAACTTGTTATTTTCAAAGATATGTAGATTAAGCAAATGGAACAATATTTTAAAATAGATGAAATGTCCAGAGGAGTATTGTTAACTCGTTTCAAATAAAAACTCTTTCGAGAACAGGTGTATTTAATAGGCAAGTTACAACATTTCTATTTCAAAGAGAGTTACGGACTAACCCCCCGAAATTCAATTCGCGTTTTAAATACACTTCTAGTATATTGCAAAAAACGTGTTTTTATGTAATCATATATTTGTAAATATCAATCCTCAGTATAGTTGCTTTAAAATATTTTAAAGATAACATATTTATATATATATACTGTATCAATGATGTACACTGAATGCATGTTTGTACATCGTTTTCTTTTAGACAAATAAGAATCTACAAATAAAGCAAATTTTCCATAATTTGTTTTCTTTATTTTCTAATTATAAGTAAAATCTTATGTATGTATTCAATACAAAACGATAATCATAATATTTATAGATATAATAAAATGTAACAAAAAGATAAAGATATGTTTAATGTTTAATTCATTTGCATACTCCAAAGCTGGAATCGAGTATAGAGGATGCCTTTTGGCAGCTATTTCACGGCAAAAGTACTAATCGAATTTGAATTAAATTTAACTTTTGATGGAAGATTGAAATGATCATTTTATTTTATTTATTTTTACAATTGCAGTGTTTTTAATGAATCTATAGACTAATTTACATATCTATTTTTGATGGAAGATATATTACAATTTAGTCATTATTTAATGATACACCACCACATTTAGGTCTTTATACCCTTCAGCATAATGGGAAGGCTTTACATATGTATGTAAGTTTGTCATTCCGTTTGTAATTTCTACAATATGTATAATTTTTCGACCCTATGAGGATTTCGAGAACTTTTAGATTGTGGAGTAAATTTTGCCATATCCGTCTGTCTGTCTGTCTACCTGTCGGTCCGTATGTACATATGTATGTTAAAAAGAGCTAATATAAGACCCCAGATATCTGCAATATCAGAATCTTCGATAATTCCATCTATATTCTTTCGAGAAGTTGGCTAATCGATTCATAAAGAACGGAGATATGAGTAAAATTCCAAAACAACCCATGGAAATATAACGTTTTTTTTTAATTCTTGATTATTAGTTCTTTCAGAAACTACAGCAGCTAAAGTTTGTCCTAAAGTTTATAAAACCCCGTTTTTAATCATATTTGATACATTACAACAATGCAAAATACTTTTATTTCCATACATATGTATTTGCTATGTCATCTGAAAGTCCAATCTGTATATATTTGTGTATGTACATAATTAATCTCTCACATTCACCAAATTTTAACTATGTTTTATAAGTTCACTAAACATTTAATAAAATCAAATAACAATTACATTTTGGCAAATTATTCTAATTCTTAACGAATTTTGTCGGTCATATTTATTTTTTTGTGTTTACTGAATACCTATGTAACTACATATATAAATGTTCATGTGTATGTTTGCATATAATACATATTTTTAGATACAAAACGTAACTTTTTGTATTAATACAATTTCGTGTATAATTATTATCCACAAATTTTTAGTAACAAAATATGCTGGATTTATTTTATCATGATTTTAACACTCCCGCAATAATTCGCATAGATGTGTGTTTTATTAATTTACGTGATAAACCACAAATGCAATTTCAGTTTTTCCAAAAATGAAAAAAAGGATAATGGATTTGTTTCATTTCGAATTCGTTGCACACATAAAATAATACAATATTACTGTTGCATATGTAAATATTTTAGTTTTATTTGTAAAACATTTAGGTTGAAAGAGAACAAAATCAATAAATATTAAAACGTTTACCAAAATATTGTTGGTATATAAATTATACATTAGGGTTTTTTTTTAGATATGTTTGTATATAGATGGATTGAGATTAGATAGTAGATAGATAGATAATAGATAGATAGTATAGATAGATAATGAATGGATCGGATAGTAGATGCTGCTCGATAGCTAGTCGATAGATGCTTGATGCTCGACTACGCTCGCTGCTCGCTAGCTCAGCTCGCTCGCTCGATCGCTCGCTCCTCGCTCGCTTCCTCGCTCTCTCGCTCGCTGCTCGGTCGCTCGCTCCTCGCTAGATGGCTAGCTAGCTCGCTCGCTCGCTCGCTCGCTCGCTCGCTCGCTCGCTCGCTTGCTCGCTGCTCGTCGCTCGCTGCTCCTCGCTAGCTCGCTCGCTCGCTCGCTCGCTCGAGCTCGCTCGCTCTCCTAGCTCGCTAGCTCGCTCGCTCGCTCGCTCGCTGCTTCGCTCGCTCTCTCTCGATCGCTCGCTCGCTCGCTCTCGCTCGCTCGCTCGCTCGCTCGCTGCTCGCTGCTCGCTCGCTCGCTTCGCTGTCGCTAGCTCGCCTGCTCGCTCTTCGCTCGCTCCTCGCTCGATAGCTCGCTCTCTGCTCGCTCGCTCGCTCGCTCTCGCTCGCTCGCTCGCTCGCTCCTCGCTCGCTCGCTCGCTCGCTCCTCGCTCGCTCGCTCGCTCGCTCGCTCGCTCTCTCGCTCGCTCGCTCGCTCGCTCGCTCGCTCCTCGCTCGCTCGCTCGCTCGCTCGCTCGCTCGCTCCCTCGCTCGCTCGCTCGCTCGCTCGCTGCTCGCTCGCTCGCTCGCTCGCTCGCTCGCTCGCTCTCTCGCTCGCTCTCTTGCTCGCTCGCTCGCTCGCTCGCTCGCTCGCTCGCTCGGTCGCTCGCTCGCTCGCTCTCTCGCTCGCTCGCTCGCTCGCTCGCTCGCTCGCTCGCTCGCCTCGCTCGCTCGCTCGCTCGCTCTCTCGCTCGCTCGCTCGCTTGCTCCTCTCGCTCGCTCGCTCGCTCGCTCGCTCGCTCGCTCCTCCTCGCTCGCTCGCTCGCTCCTCGCTCGCTCGCTCGCTCTCTCGCTCGCTCGCTCGCTCTCTCGCTCGCTCGCTCGCTCGCTCGCTCGCTCGCTCGCTCGCTCGCTCGCTCGCTCGCTCGCTCGCTCGCTCTCGCTCGCTCGCTCGCTCCTGCTCTCTCGCTCGCTCGCTGCTCGCTCGCTCGCTCGCTCGCTCGCTCGCTCGCTCGCTCGCTCGCTCGCTCGCTCGCTCGCTCGCTCGCTCGCTCTCTCGCTCCTCTCGCTCGCTCGCTCGCTCGCTCGCTCGCTCGCTCGCTCGCTCGCTCTCTCGCTCGCTCGCTCCTCGCTCGCTCGCTCGCTCGCTGGCTCGCTCGCTCGCTCGCTCGCTCGCTCGCTCGCTCGCTCGCTCGCTCGCTCGCTCGCTCGCTCGCTCGCTCGCTCGCTCGCTCGCTCGCTCTCTCGCTCGCTCCTCGCTCGCTCGCTCGCTCGCTCGCTCGCTCGCTCGCTCGCTCGCTCGCTCGCTCGCTCGCTCGCTCGCTCGCCTCGCTCGCTCGCTCGCTCGCTCGCTGCTCGCTGCTCGCTCGCTCGCTGCTCGCTCGGTCTCGAGCTATTCGCTCTGCTCGCTCGCTTCCGCGCTCTAGCTCGCTGCTCGCTCGTGCTCGCTCGCTCGCTCTCTAGCTGCTTCTTGTCTCGAGATAATTACGATATTGATTTCAGATAATAGCATTAAGGACGTAAGCATTTCCGAACATTAGAAACGTTTATACTTAAAAAGAACACCCCTAATATATATTCGTATTACACATAACTCTACTACAGACATACATACCACCATACATATGTATATTGGGGTTTTTTTCTATGTGTTAATGTGTAGAATATTGAATAGGTTCCATTAAGCGGAATGATTACATTGATTTCATTTTTATCGCAATTTAGAAGTAGTATTAGTAAAATTGTTAAAAATTATCTCGACTTAAAAACTTATCATACGCATGATTGATTTACTAAATTATTGTGACTATTTATAAATATCCAATAGTATAACCACGATTATAACATTTGCACCTCTACACAGTCATTCACACATACGGACAATATGTTTATTCAATGAATTTTGAATGGATGTCGATTATAATCACTCATACAATTTTACTATATACACAACACATTAGAGTGCTCCAAAAAAAAAAACGAAGTTGCCAAATTTGCCCGTCCCTCCTCTAGAATTGTTCGATGGCTTGTAAAACTATGTCATACAAAAATTAGGCTGATAGAATAACGTTAACAGGTGCCGTAACGGCTCTGAAGTTTCCAAGTGCATTTACAAGGGATAAAATCAATTTTTTCAGTTTTTTCCAAAATTTGTTATTTAACAATAAACTTTGCACTTTTTTGTGAAAGATTCAAAATGTACACATAATAAGCATTTCGGAAACATATAAAACACGAAAATTGGTTGAAAAATTTTAAAGTTATTGCAAATTCCCCAGACCATTAACGTGTCTCTCAGTACATGAATTCGAAATGTGACAAAAAAAATTAAAATTTTTTAGTATATATTGTAAAAAAACCATTTTGTTACATAAAATATATCTACATTTGTCCTTATACGATAACGCAAACTTGTTCTTAGCTATGATTAAAAAAAGTTTTATTTTTTCAACGGCCGTTTCAAATTTCCAATTTCAGTTTTTTTTTTGAAACTTTTTTAAACAAATTTTAAAATCTTTGGGGATTTATGAACAATAGATAAGGGAATAAAACGGTAAAAAAATTTAATACTTCTTACAGTTTAGCTGTACCTGCGATTTTTATATCTTTCCGAAATGCTTATTATGTGTACATTACGATTCCTTCACAAAAAAGTGCAAAGTTTGTTATTAAATGGCAAATTTTGAGATAAAACTGAAAAAAATCGATTTTTTAACCTTTTGTATGACATAGTTTTACAACCAATAGAACAATTCTAGAGGGGGGACGGCCTGTCGGATAAAATTGTTTTTCCATCATACAAGCTTGGAGCACTCTAATATACATACATACATCGTATGTAATGTGTCTTGGTGTAATTGCGGTGATATTTAATTTTAGATTTTAGTTCAAATAAAATTATTTAGTATATAGTGCGCATAGAGTTAATGTTTAATTGCGGTAACTACAAATTTCATTTCCGTTTCCATAATACAGCGATTATATTGTAATAAGCTCTTTAAATGATGATTTGTTAAACTTAGCAAATATTATTTATTTAACCAGGGCACAGTAGGGTAGAATCGAAGTTGTTTGGAAGTAAATATAAACAAGTTAGAGTGCTATATTCGGCTGAGCCGAATCTTAAATACCCTCCACCAGCAACTTTTGTATTAATACATTTCTAATTAATAAAATATTTGTAGAAATAAGTTTTCTCATGTGTTAAATAGAAAAATCCCAAGATTTAAACGGCTTAAATCTACTACAATTCCAAGATTTATTGAACATTAGAAACGCCACTTTCATTTTAATTTTTATAGCGCCCTAAGATATGCTTTAGCGATATTAAGTATTTGCATGTATGCATGTGTGTGAAAGATTTAAGGATTTTAAAAATACATACATATATATATATATAATTTTGTTCTACACAAATTGATAATGCAAATAGTTAAATACGGTTAAAGCGCTTTTAG